TGGCGCCGAACTGTAACCAGATGCTGAACGTTTCGGTGGGGGCGGCGGCGGCGGTCGCCGGTATATACAGGAAACTTATGAGATAGTGGTGTTTGTTGCCTGGCTAACTGCTAACTGCCACTGGACACTGGACACTCATTCGATTGGGAATGAAAGCAATTAGGTGGGCGTGTTGCCCTCATTTCCACATGCATGGGCTATAGCTGTATATATAATACTGTATAAGGATGGGCGCCTCGCACGCGCATGCAATAATGGGGAAACTTATTTTGCAGTATACTGGGTTGCTGACGATTTTATTTTTTTTGCGCGGGGCATCGTCGAGATCAGCGATCAGTCGAATTGAAACTCCTGTTCTTTTTATTCGAAATTGCCATATGTGGAACCAAAAAATTAAAATCCGGAAAGGTCCAGACATTTTCTTTTCACGAGCTGAATCATTGTACAAACAACAGTATTTTTTTCGCGAACTAAATTTTTTTAAAGTTCTAATGCTGAACTAATCTTGATTCATTGGCCTCTTTTGTGGAGTCTCGTCAGATTATCAAGATAGACATTTTGTGCAGATTTATGCATTATTTTTAAACGATTTTTCAAGCATTTCTTCACCATGCATTGAAATGAAGAGAAGATAAAACGTTTCCGAAACTCGGGCTGTTATCAGGGTTATTACGAGCCTCACTTGCACAATTTTAAGATTTAATTTACCCATTCCGGGAAAACTTTTGAATACTGTACTTTAAAGTGATTCAATAATTTTTATAAAAATCGTCTTATAGCGTCCCAAATCTGAAAATAATCCCCAGATGATATGTTGCAATATTTTTCTCGTTATCATTGCTAAGTATTAGGGTTGCTTTGAAAGGACCATTGCTGGTAGCAAGGCATTAAATAATTCAGTACAGGTGGTACCTTGAACTTTTACCCTAATCCACTAGGGTCAAATTGTGAGACACTCCATGCAATTTTAAAACTGAAAGTAAAAAACGAAAAAGTGGCCAAAGCAGGTCAAATTGCAGGGCAAGGGTCGAATTGAAAGTCAACCTCTCTGCAAATTCTACCTTCAAATTGTGGGACGGTCAAATTGAAGGAGGTTGAATTGCGAGGTATCACCTATACAAAAATTGAAGAAAATGTAAAGCAAAATTGCTGGTGGAGACAGAGGTCTCAAATCTTTCTGCCAATTGCACTGGATTTGGAGAAGATTCTGACCCAAATCTGTTATAGATGCCTTCAAGTGCAAACTAATCAAGTTCAAATTTCAGGCAACATTTCATCAGTTCGTAATATTTTCATCAGTCGCAGTCACTGCATGACAAGTCTGAGATGTTTTTTTTAAATGAAATTCTGGATTTTTATTGGTAGATGCGTAAAATTCCAGGTCTCTTTGCACACTTATATTTTGGCATCCTCTTAAGCGCCCGCGTTTCCATTCCTCTGAAGGCTGGACCAGTGAAAATGACACAGATATTTCATGCGCCGGGAAACCTTATTGAACCTTCTTCGCGAACTGGTTCATGTTCATGTCATAATTGGTGCTTGAGAATAGGATTTGATAATTTATCTAGCTTTTAGCATGCCAGTAAATCCCGGTGCCATTAGAGTCAATCTGGGACTCATAATGAGACTCGTTGGAATGCCAATTTAGCTGAGCTGATGAACCCTGAATTTCCGTTGTGAGACGCACGCGTGCCATTCAATGCAAAGCTCGGGTTTTCCACGTCCAATCCTATCGGGCCTTCTGAAAGTTTCTACACAATAGCAAGAAGCCACTCAGTTATCAGTACACAGTTTTGGGTGGTGAAAATTTCTTTTATACAGCGCAAACAAAATTTCTAAAGACTTTTTGGAGTTGCTGAAGCTTTCCAAATGCCCTATATTTTGTAATTAAAATGTACAGCACATGTTCAGCACAATATTGCCAATTTGGAATTTATGATCACTGCTGCTTTGACACATTTAAAAATAAAAGCAGACCTCAATTATGAATACTGTATTTACTTGAGTACCACACACACCTTTTTTCTCAAATTTCAGAAGAAAAAAGGGGTGTGCATCATAAGCAGTTACAAAATTTCCAAGAAGTTTTAGGAAGTTATGTGTGCAGTACAGTGGGCCCCCATCTTACGTCATCAATCAGTTCCAGAATGGACATCATAACATGGGGCTGTCATAAGTTGAAACCCTATTTCCCTTAGGATTACATTATAAAAAAATTAATTTGTTCCAGAAAAAAGATATCAAACTAAAATTACCGGTATATTTCAACTTTTTAATTCCTCCTAAACTTAAATTCCTCCTAAACAAAATTATGCACAGGGCAGTACAGAACACACAAAATTCAAAATCCCTCCTAAACACAATTATTCAGCAATAATGAAATGAACTGTACAGCACACACAAAATTTAAAAAATGCTCTGAACACAGCAATTTCCAAACTTAAGGACAATTTATTTCCTGTGCATGGCACCATCTCACACTATTGACAGTTTAATCTGGCTAGGAATGAACCTTGGCACAAAAAAAACGCACTTCCTCCCAGGAAAACCTTTGGAGCATGCATGGCGCCAAAAAAATGGTTGGTGGGAGGGAGCTGAAAAACCTCAGAAGCTGTTGTATCATGAAACCCTGACGTAAGTTGGGGGTTTTTTTATATTTAAAGAAGCGTTGTAAGTTGAAACTGACGTAACATGGGCCCGTCGTAAGTCAGGGGCCCACTGTATACTCAATCATAATGGAGAAATTTTGAACAAATGTAACAAGAAAACTTTTTTGTACTGAACAAGTTGAAATGTGATCCAATTTTTGTTTAATTCATGTCTAAAGTCAAATTTTTTGAATTTATTTTCAAAATTTTGTGGTTTTAGATTCACTAATAATTGGGGCACGTGTCTTACTTGGGTATAAGATTTTTGCCAAATTTCCAACTGAAAAACCCTGTGCAGGCCTTACTCAAGGGCGCGTGGTACTCAAGCAAATACGGTACATTCTTTCCCCATTTATTGGGACAAAGAGTGTGATTACAATTGAACCTGAATAACTCAAACCTCCCCATAAATTGAATACCTCCTTAAGTCAAATTTGTTACAAGTCCCCAACTGATTCAGTTCAGAAACAATAAAGCATTAAAAACCTCTGTAGCTCAAATAAGGCTCTGAAATGTGCATAGGTTGAATTTTCTGAGGCCTTTTGGCTATTATTTTCTTGACCAAGGGAAGGAAAGAAAAGTTTTGAAAGGAAGTGAAAGACTTGTTTGGGCACAGGAACCCTTGCCTCCAAGTTCAGCGTTCTTCATGTCATTTCATTCAAGAAGCAATTTAAGCAATTCTTGTATGTTTCCCACAACAAAAATGCTTGTTTCCTCAACTCAAAACCTGGCATGGAACCTCCTGCCTATATGGAATTTTTTTGCTGGTCTTTTGAAATTTGACTTAGAAAGGCTTGATAAATACACCATAATGCCTGTCTTTTATTTACTTTTTGATTTTGTACATAGCTTGAATATATTTCTAGAGTTGGAAATGAAGCATAATTTTGATTCACTTGAAAGCAAAGCCATGGGAGCTAGTGTAAAAGTGAAGGGGTTTTGGTGTCACCCCATTATTTCCGGAAGGGGGTTTGAGGGTGTTAGCAGGAAGAAAAGCGACGCATAGGAAGCACGCGGACCCACCATTTGTCAATCCTTTTCTTCTTATTTTTCTCCTCTTTCCCCTTTCCCCAAACTTATTTCCCTGGTGCAAATTTTATTTCCGCCTGCAGCAGGAAATAAGGCCTCATCATCACGCCTAGTTGTCGATGCACCCTCGCCTTGGCCCAGGACAAGATTTATGGCATCAGGCTGCGTGCCAACGCAATTCTTGCTTCTCGCTCTCCCGCTTTTACCTATTGATGACTCGTCGCTCGTGCTGCTGCGCCAAATTCCTGAATAATGCAAAAGGGTTCTTTTCGCGGGAAATTGAGGCAGTGCAGGGAATGTCCGTGGTGTCACAAACAAAAGCAAAGCAAAAAACAAAGCAAAACAAAAAAAAATTTGAAGAAAAATTGTGTTGGAAGGTAAGAAAAATGTGCCCTTGTATTCAGAACATCGGAGCAAGTCTTGCGATATGAGGGGACGAATTTATATTCGTTTCTGAAATACAGTACGCTACATTGTCTCTATTAAGGGGTTTACATTGTTCCAAAACCAGTAGAAGAAGTTCTGATTGTCACAAACAAAAGCAACAAACAGAAAAGGACATTTAAAGAAAAATTGTGTTGGAATATAAGAAAAATGTGCCCTTGTATTCATAACATCGGAGCAAGTCTTGCGATATGAGGTGACGAATTTATATTCGTTTCTGAAATACAGTACGCTACATTGTCTCTTAAGGGGTTATTTACATTGTTCCAAAATCAGGGGAAGAAGTACTGATTGAATCACTGTGAAGAAATCAGTGGATATACAGATTGTAGCCAATATCCGCATTATTTCCTTCAAAATAACACAGGTCTTGCCTCCTGAACATTTTTTATTTTTTTTGATGACGTGTCTTACATTCAGATGAGATTCATCGAGGAAAATTAACGTTTGAAATTTTTCTTGTTTGTCGAATGTCGTTCAGGTCGTCAGAATTGTCTTGTAGAATCGTCAAGGGAAACCCCGGGGAAAATTGTTCGAATAAATGTTCGAGGATTACGAGAAATAAGAATTTCATCGTGAGCGCGTTTCCCTCTTAAAATGGCAGAAATTTACATTTTGTGAACGTACAACTTTTAAGAAATGATTGTGACTTACTTTTTGACAATTTTTATTAAGAGGAAATTCAAAAATATTCAACATTTTGTTTTTTTGGAACAAGATGCTGATCTTTCAACGGTGAAGAAACAAAACCAAAACGCGTCCTGTTGTGATTCTGGGCGATTTTTTCGTGATGTGCTTACTCAGGCAGTCCGTTTGCGAGGAATTCATTAAGAAACAAAGGAATGAATAGACGAAGATTGACAAAAGCAGAAAATAATATTAATTCATATTCATTTCCGAATCTTTCTTTTGTCCAGCAATGAAATGAAGTTGAGCTGCTACTTGGTCTCGGGTTCTTCGTCCCCACGTTGTGATGGATGCCAGGCGTCGACCGCGTGTTTCCAGGTCAAAAAGTGATTTGGCCAAAGGAACTATTTTCTGTTGCATCCACTCTTCAACAGCAGATGGAGTCAAATATTGGGACAGAACCCGTCTGGTTTCCGCACCCAGCTGCGATACTTTCGACTGCACGGGCGGCAAGAATTTCAGCTCGTCCAACACTCTTCTTCTGCTTGTCCACTGATTTTTGTTTTCAAAGCAGAGAGAAAGAAAGTAATTACTACATACCTGATAAAATTTCAAAGACGTACATGCGGCATTTATTTTCCTAAAATTTGCACAGCTCAAAACTACCGATTCTATAGAATTCTGTCGCGTTTCCTCTATTTTTCACTCATATCCGTCATATGTATTATACGGACGTAAAATCTGATGTTAATTTCTACTTTAAAGATTTGACTTGAACCAAAATTAATCATTCTTTAAATGGAAAGAAAAATTGTAGTCCATCAAATTATCTCACAATTGTCTGCTCTTCCTTAAATTATGTAACAAGCTAACCACTAATGAACATTCTTTTCATTTTTTTTCAGCCCTTCAGGTGTCTCGCAAATGTTGCTTCCCCTCAATGCCATCAATTGTTTGTTCAATGACGATTTAAAAATTTTATTGGTACAGTTGAAACTTGCTAACGCAGGAGTCCGAAAGTAAAAATCTCTATACATTCATGTTTGTATGGACTATGGAGTACATGTCTAAATTCTTTTAAGAACAAAATAATGTAAACCTCCTTTACTCAAATACTTCCCACTTCAAACCTCTATAACTCAAATTTATTGGGACCCTTTTGACTATTACTTAAGGGACCCAGCAAAAAAGAGAAGAGCAATATAAATGTAAAAATGATTTTCAAAACGAAGAAATCAAATCATTTAGAAAATATACATTTGCTTCCCAACTCCGAACTCTTTGAAATATTTTATTCAACACTTGTAGTCCTAGAAGATGATTCGTAATTCCTCATTTATCCCCAGAAAAAAATGTGGGTTTCCCTAACTCAAAAGTCGAAACCAAGTCAAAAGTTTTAATGATCTCTCCGGGTTTGACTTGACTGTACATGAATTTTAATCCAAGATAAAGAAGAAAAAAAAACGTATGGGAGTACAACATTGTAATATTGTAAGTTATCCCGCAACAAGGAAGTGTTTCTATTTCGTGATACAGTAATTTTCTTCCCAGCAATAGTCGATCACCGGTGTCTTTCGGAAAAAAAAAATAAATAAATAAATCAAGAAATTCCCGGTTTTTTTTCAAGTCTGTCCAAGCTGATGTCTGTAATTATGAAATTTTTCTAGTTTACGCACTCATATTCAGTAACTTGACATGCTGCTCACGTTGTGCTTGTCGTTATAGTCAGACACCCAGGCACTCGCTGCAGCAGCCCTGACTAAACCCTGGGTCTGAAGCATGAGTCCCTGATAGTCCCACATGACCTGAACCACGTCCGCTCCCACAAACACGCATTTGCGCGAGTCCCACAATCTTGGGTCGGATTCCAGGGCACGGATATTCGCGGGCAGGGCAACGAGCCCGGGGCAACCCAGTATTTCGTGCAATGCCGAAGTCACTTCTTCGTAAGTGGAGCCTCGGGATGTCACGAGCAGGGTGAGCAGTGCGGAAGGCAGGGAATTCGGCAACAATTCGCACAAGTTGGCAAAGTGGTCGTATCTGGACCATCCAGTAAAAATCTGGGCAACAGAAATGAATTCAAACATGCGAAAATTTTGCAAGAGGAACATTAGGTAGTGATCAGGCCAAGATGTCGCTTCTTGGAGAAAATGATGAATAAAAAACTGCCTGATGCATATACAGTACCGCATAAATTTAAATTCACCTAGAATGTTTAAATTGCCTCTGATAATTCGTGCTTATGAATTGCATCGTTTTGGGCGATTCTTGAAATTTGTCAGACTCAAGACGAAAGCTTTCACATTTTTTCCACCCTATACAGTATCCAAAGATCCCTGATCTGCTATTATCCTATATATACAATATATACAATATATATACAGTATATATACAATAATTTCGCCTGCTTAATTTGAGTTCCATTAAAACGCCAACAGTTCAATCCCGTTGTGAGTACGTGACGCTCTCTTTCTTCCTCAAAATTAAAAATACTCTACCTACAAAAGCTGTCGGGATTAAGTTGAATATTTCAGAATATGATGTAATTTTGTAAGTATTGAAGCATTCTTCCCTGCTGTTCTGCTTTAGAATGACGATATATAAATACGATTCATTCCTTGACATTCGCCGAGAATATTCAGTGATAAAAATCGAACCCAGTCAGGCTTGAGACTAATTTCAGCAGACTGATTATTTTTTGGTTAATATTGTATGTATATATTCTTAATGCTGGTGAAATATCGAGCTATTGTTGTTTTTTTTATATTCGCTGTTCAAGTTTTGTGAGAATTAGATTTCACCTGTCCTCGAAGACGACTGAAAAATGGCTCAACTCCTGTCAATACACTCTGCCAAGTCAGTGCATTAACAAGGTGTTTGTAAACATTTGGGGCGAATTCAGCTGCACCGAAAGCCCCCTTAAAGGCACCTGCTGTCCAAATATCGCTGAATGCTTTGGCATAAGTTGTCCATAGATCCGTCGGGAACACATCCGTAAATCTGATTCAAGAATAAAAATTATGGTCACAACTTTATTTTTTGGATTTTCATAAGTGACGAACAGGTTTCCGCTTCTCAAGCCACGATTTCTGACCATCGGGACTGAATCCTTGCAAAATGTTAATCGGGATCCACGCACAAAATATATAATGACTTGGCCTGTTTTCTTCACTGCTTCACATTTAACACGATACTTTCTTACGTAAGGAAGAACTTACATAAGCAAATGTCTAGTGTCTGAGTGTTTGGGTACAAATGCTACGAACTTCTGCTGAATAAATTATACGACTTGAAGCGCGTCCCTCTGCATTTTGTAAATGATTTTTTCGAAATTCCAGCCATTGCCTGGAAACTCATTTCAGTCATGATCATTTTGAATTTTAGCACCGCCGCATACAAAAATGGCTAAAATCAGCGCAATTTTACTTTTAAGTTTTCAGATCTGGCAACTTATTGTAATTGCAACTATTTTTAATGTTTCTGCACAGTATTTGGTAGCATTTTATCGATTCACATCAGAATTCATAAAACATGCCTATGCATTGTGGCATGTGAACTTTATCTCTGACATCCACGGGATGCACTTTCAACTCAAAAAGTAGTCTCGTTTTTTATTTAACAAAATTTTGAATATTCGTGAGGAGATTATCAAATTTTCCTCCGTCCCGTTCTGACGTGTTCGTCTTCATTCATTTCAGACAAAATCAAACAAAAAACTGCAGAAGGGTACATCAAATGTTTAAAAAAAATTTATTCAAATCTTAGGTACACAATTTGAAAGGGGCTTTTTTTATCAATAAAAATATTTTAAAGCAAAAAACCAGTCCTCTACCTCGTCCCGTAGACCCAGATGACGGGCTCGACGAAATTTCCAATCTGCGATGTTCGCAGCAGTTTCAGCGGGATTTTGCGCAAAACGTCGTCCCAAATCAAGACATTCGCGTCAAATCTTTCCGTCACAAATTGAGCGACGGCCTTGACGTGATCCAGGTACAAATCATGTCCTCGAGAGGAGGATTTGCACACGGGACATTCGGCCAAATGAAAAACTTCATCGCAGCCTATGTGAACATATTTCGATTCTTCGTGTAGTGCCATCACCTGCAATTCTTATATAAGGGAACCATTTAAAAAATATTCCTCAACAAAAAAAATAAACAGTGAGTTTCACCTGTTGAAGCATTTCAGTTATCAGTTTGAAAGCTTCGGGATGCGATGGACAAATGTCAGCGGGGTCTTCGTCTGCTTCGCGAAGATGTGAGAACTCGGGAAGTTTCAGAACGTATTCCAGGTGTCCAAATGTTTGAACCAGTGGGATAACCTTTTCGCCAAACATCACTTTTAGACATGACGCATGGGAAAAAAACCAAGAAATGTTCCTTTTTCTTTCCTCAATTTTTTTTCCCGTCGTGCACATGCTTAAAAATAAGTTCTGACTTATCCCAAGGCAGCAAAGCAAGTCATGTGCGAATAATGCTGCTTCAAACGCAATCAAAAATACAATGCGGCTGATGGTTCTTTTATTGTACTCTCAATAACAAGCCTGTACAATATTTAGATACTGTAATAATTTTTGAAAACGAAGCCTTTATTGGCATTCAATAAGCCTGAGAAATAATTTCATCTGTGAATGCGTCCAAGATAATCTGGAACTCAGTCGTGATTTCAAACAGTTTCTTTATTTAACTGTTGACATCACCATGGATTTTCTAGTTCATTATTTTCCCAGTCTTCTTCAACGTTTTTTTTTTCAATTTTCCCCGCTGATCTGTCGTTTATTCGGGTTGAGGAAGTATAATAAAAACATCATACGCGCGAATCATGTAACATGAAAGTAATCCATGAAGTTTCTGCTTTTTCTTTGAAAATTACATCAGCCCAAATACTTCATAAACCATAGCCAATGTTTAAAAATGAACTGAAATTGGATCAGCCATACTTCATGTAACATCCGGTGAATTTGTCGTATAATTAGACTGACGAAAGCAGAGATTATTACGTTTAGTCATACGCGTGAGACATATTACCGTACCTCGAAGCCACCTAAAACAGCAGCATTGACAAACATCGACACGTCTTCTGAAGTCATGGAATCTGCAGCTGATGACAGATTCGCCAGTCGACCAGTGTAAGGAAAAGCATCTTCGTATTCCAACAACAGTGCGTTTGCTCCGGCTTTCTTCAGCATTGGAAGTATCTTCAATAAAAAAACACTGTATAAACCAGTGTTCTCCAACCTTTTTGGACCCAGGGATTGGCAAATTGTCATACAAATTTGCTGCGGACTGATTGCTTATTTCCATAACATTTTCTGCGGACCAGCAGCGTTCCATAAAATGTTTGCACACCAAAAAAAAAATGTATATACCTCCATTCAAGTCTTCCACACAAAATTTTTAAGTCAAAAATTAAGTTAAGAACCAGTGGAGCAGCTGGAGTGCAATGACTTCAAAAAAGTAGAAAGCTGGGCTTAAAAAAGGTTTCCCAGAAAAGAAAGTGTAAATCATTTATTTCAGCAAGTGAAAAATAATCTTGAGTATTATTGAGGGAAAAGCCTTTTTTTATTTTAATCAGATAATTTCAACTGTAATTGTTTTTCCAAACTATCAGATAACGGCAACAGGCTTCATCACAATTTCATATGCATATATTATGCTGAAAATTTCCTGCAGACCAGTAAAAAGCTTATGTGGACAAGCACAGGTCCATGGACCACAGGTTGGGGAACACTGCTGGTATAAACTATATTGAGTACCAGGTGGACACAAAAAATTCAATTTTAAACTTCAGCATCTCCTGATGGGTTATTCAAGCAAGTTTCAAAAATGTTGAATTAAAACTGAGACAATATTTTTTGAATGTCATAATGAATCTGTGTTACGTTGCTAATCATGCTCTGGAAATTTCTAATTCTGCTTGGAAACTTTCATTGTTTTGATTGAATTGCTTTGTTCATACCAAAGACCAATTGTGTCGTGAAAAAATTAACATCGAATTTGTTCTACAATGTGCAGACTTCCAAGAGGAATCGCAATTCAACTCTGGGTACAGATTTTTTGCTATACACGTTTCGTTCCCTATGGAAGCTTATTGTGATGAAATTTTCTTTTGTACAAATAAAATCTTTTTCACGTTGTGATGTCATGGTAGTTTGCGGGATTTCCCCGCCAAAGGAAACCAGGGAAGCTTTAGTAAGCATTAAAATTTGTGTCGAATCTTTCAAACGCCGCAGAAAGACTACACGACAACTCGCAAATGATGACTAAATCCTTTGCCGTGGAAATTTTCAATTCGAATACATTTCCTGCATGATTTAATTGAGCAAATGAGTTTACCTTGAGCAAATAGTCGAGCTTCGGAAGACCGCCCTTCATGTCCAGATGCACAACGCGGTAACGAGGGACGTGATGCTGAGTGTTCGTGACCTGGTTCCGCTCCCCATCCACGTAGTTCACGAGGTCGCGGAGGGCGTCGCTAGCAGCGCGACCCGGGCGCATTCTGGATCCCATTTCACCCGCATCCCGGGATTTCAGGGATTGTTTCCAGGCGAAAGCCGGGAATTTCCTGGGGGATCCCGGGAAATCCCGGCGAAATTTGACGACTGTCGAGATGCACCAACATGCCGCAACTGCGGATATCGCGAGGACCCACGTCAACCTCGACCGTTTCGAGAGACGCGGCATGATGATAATAATGTATTGATTGATTGATTGACTAATGGTCACGGCATCATATCAAGCACATTAATTAATTTCCGCTGTGATTTTATGCATATTATCCGAGCGACGAACAAGTGTTTTTTTTTTTAACGAATGTATGTTCTTCTTTTTGACTCTTTTCACATACATCGTCTGATTTTTCCTTCGCCAAAAAAAAACGTGGATCACATTTCCTTCTCATGAAAACACTGCAAAAAAATTCAGTTTAATTAATGAGTATATACTGTACTTGTTTACATAATTTCAGGCAGGGCTGGATTGAACCACATTTCGGCCTGCAGATGCTGCCCAAAAAATAGGCCTAATTTTCCTTTGCAAAAAGATATTTTCCTCACACAATTAAAAATGTAATTTTTAGAGAACAAATGATATCTGATGCTAAAATTCAATTACACATAAATATGGTAGAATTCCACCTCAATGAATCTCATTACAATACACTTTTCTTAAAATGCATTTTTCTTGGTCCTGGAAGTTTCTTTGTAGGCACCATGTTATAGAAATCTCATTGTAATGAACTCATTTTAGGCTGTTGTCTCAATATTATAAAAATTTTTGCTTGATTCTGTGAATAGACTACAGCAATTATTTCATAAATGGTGGAAGGAATGAGAAACAAATGAAAAGGTGCCACATTCCAATTTCTTGAAAGACTAAAGATTTTTTAGAGAAGGTTTGGTGTTCAAAAAATGCACATCACATATGTTTTGGAAATTCTTTTGCTACACTCTAAATTGTATGCCTTTCTTTCAAGTGAAGAGGGTCCTATAGAAGATATGTTCCTCTATTTAGAAGGAGCAAACAGGTATGAGTAAAGAAGATGATTTCCATATGTGGCATTTGCCAAAACACTCAAAGTGACTTTTTTCAAGGCTTTGGATTATACTTGTACAAAATTCACATTTTGGAAGAATATAATGTAAGAATATCAGATATAAATATATCTTGTAACAAATTATAAACCTGAATGTTGAGCCAATAGGCTGTTTTTGTGTTCAAATTTTAAAGGTAGTGCATGAAAAACAAACCACTTACCATTGTTACAACACAAATTTCTTGGAAAGTGAAAATGCCCCACCTTGCCTTTTATGTGTATTAATAGGCATAAATCCAAGAATAATGTGAAAACATATCTAAATTACAATTTTCCAAGTATATATACTTCAACATATAACTTGGTAGATTTGAGAGTTAATTTGACATGCTTGGTTAGGAATGGGCACAAAAATACCTGTTGTTCCACTTGTCATGGCACAAACTATGTACAAAATCTAAGAAATTCATGATGATGAAGTGCGTGTCTGTGTAAAAGCAGAAATTTCTCATTATTTCAACTTCAACTTGGATATTGCATGTCAAAATCACATCCACTTATTCAATTTATTCAAAAAGTCACCAAATTTTAACCCATGCTGTGTGGCTCACTTCGAATATTCTAAAAAATGTGGTGCCCATCCCATGAGCATTTGAAAAAAATTTGCATTTCTGAATGAATGCTAAAGTGAGGGAAAAGTTCAATAAATTTTATTCTCATCCTTCCAAAAATGTTCAAGAAAAATTTATAAATTGTCTAAAGTTTCTCAGTGTCATCATTAAAAAAAACTTTAAGCATTTACATTAGAATGCAGTGAGGGGCTCCAAAAAAGCAAAGAGAAATGACATTCAGCAACTTGGAAATATCTGGATTACCTACAAAATGTTTATATAGACTAAATAGAGCAATGGACAATCTAGAAAATACATATTGAAACTGTAAATTTTTTATATTGAAAACTGGCAAAAATGAAAGATAAAGACATATTTTCTGAACACAAGATACACAGAGATATGTAAAGAATAACAAACTCAGTTTGTCACACCCCTGCTCCTGGAAGTCCTCTTGGAAAATATGGCTTGGACAAGATTCCTTAGCCTGGTGCACAGTAGGAAATTTCGGGGGGGGGAGATCTTCCTTTTTCCCAGGATGCAAGGTGAAAAGGTTTTTTTAGGGACTGGGTGTTCAAAAAGTATCTCCATTGCAAAAAAAGGGACACTTGGATTTATGTAACCCAGAACAATGACAAAGGGGGAGGGGGAGCCAGGGAGGAGGTTAAGGATGCACAGCAGGGAATGGATTAAATAAAATTATTTTTTTACATTACAATTGTTTTTAAATCACTAATGTTTCAGAAGAAAATACCATAATTTTTTAAACACCAAAAAATCACTTCAGATGATTTTTGAGGCCACCATCACAGGCTTTTTAAGTGGGACAGGAGTGACACATGTTATATACCGCCACCAGTGGCATGAGCAGAATTGAAATTTTTGATTCAATTTTCTCCTCCCCATGACTTGTTGGTGCTGCCTCTTCCTGTTTTTGGTGAGTGGCCTAGATCTATTTTTTAAGGCAGGAGTGATTGCGTGCTCTCATCCGATTTTTATGCCCTTGATCTTGTTTCCTCTTCATGGGTTTTTATGTGCAGCAGTGTGCTTGAATTGATTCTTTGATTTCTGATTTTTCAAATCCTAAACACTTTTCTCTTTCCTGCTTTTTCAAAGTTTCCATATTCTCTCAAAAGTTTGAATTCCCCATCTCAAGAATTTTTAAATTGAAATTCCCCAGTTTGGGGAATGTCTTTTTTGAATTCTCTGGGGGCCTATTTTCCTGCTACAACATCAATAGCACCCACCTTAATCCAGCCCTGATTTCAGGGGATATACAACATCCTAAATGAATCCAAGTCATGCCATTGAAGTAATTAGTAACTTTTCTTGCGTGATAAATAATAAAGCTTTCATCCAAGAAGACGACTGATATTATTTTGAACTGGAGATATTTTCTGCGCGTACCGTAGTATATAATACAGTATTATATCTTAAAAGAACATGAAAATTTGATTGAAATCTTCAATGAAAGAATTCTGCTTCAGTCACTCATTTGCGATGTACTGTACGTTTCCACCACGTGCACCGATTATCCGAGGATATCATCCTATTACGAGATCCAATGCTGTATTACTTCATAAAATTAAATTTGCATGAATAATTGTAAGGTAAGAACTTTTTAATATTCCATACGTTTTATGCAAAGTTCTCAAAGTGCTAAGTACAGTACAGTGGCCCCCCGCCCAACAGACCTCCCGTGTAAGGGATTTTTGTCAAACAGACCAGCTCTGCAAGCAGTTTTTCCTTCCGCCCAACAGACAAAATCCGCCAAACAGACTCCTTTTGGTTAAAAATTAGTGTTGAAAATTGAAATTTTAAATTTTTTATATAATTGAATTTGTGTAAAGGACTTTTCGTCTAACAGACTCATCCCTTGCACGAATCAAGTCCGTTAGACGGGGGTTGACTGTATATTTCAAACAGTCATCTCCAGAATACTCGTGATGATCAATCGCTCAAAATGAGTCGAACTACTTTTTCGAAAGAATGCTCTATTTTTTGTTGGGAATTAATGCATTAACCTGATTTTGAACTAAAAATGTGATAGAAATTTCAGATTAAATTCATTGTTACCTTCAGAATATGAAAAGGCTTGCAAAACGGGGATTTGTTTGCTATGAGATCCGAGAAATGTTTTTTTTTTTTTTTCAACAGAACTGATGTTTACTCATGATAATCTTGAGTCACAGTGAGAAATGACATGCACAATTTCCACCGAATAAAGATTCGTTAAAGAATTCTGAAGATTTATTTTAAAATTTCCACGCGGTTTCCAAACAAAACATTCAATTGACGCTCCTTTTATTCATTTTTTTAGGTGAGTTTGACACGTGCGTTTCAATAAGTCAGTCAAGCACAACTTCCTTGGAAGAAAAAAATAGGCCACATTGCGATTGCGTTTTTATGAATCCATTGGAATTCAAACATGAACCTGAACAGTTCAAAGCACGAACTCGACTAAAACATCAACTGAGTTTCCCGTTTTGAAAAGGACTGGCAACAACGGCTTCCTGCGTGATTTTTATTGACGCCGCATTTTCCCGCTGTTATGCTACGGTATATACGCATTTTTCTGCATGCAATATCACTTGTTTCCCCGCTATGCCACGCAATTCCTCTACGCTTAATTTTATGTGGTGTCTCGCTTTTTATTTTATTTCTTTGAAATACTCTTTTGTGGCATCGCAACTGAACCAGAACGAGATGGAAAGTCCGAGTTTAATTATAGAGTTCCACTCGGATTTCGGGGGAGCCGACGCCCAGTTATGAGCAAATCACTGCTATGTTTCGTTCCGTTTGTTTCCTTTCCCGCAATTTTCTCTTCGATTGCTTGCGACAATAGGTGTCAGTGAACCGAAACAATTTTCAGATCGGAAATTTTTGCACAGGTGCTTTTGTTTTCGACCCAGTTCTTCATGTGATTTTTTTGCATTCGTTTCACGCCGGCCTGGAGGCGCTATTGTAATTTTCAGAATATAAAACGTTCATTTTATAGGCATTCAGAATTTTTGAAAAATTGAAACGCTGTGAATAGTTTCAGATTTTAATCACTTTTGATTTTCGGATTTTTCGTGGAAAAACTTATAGAGAACAGCAGTGTCAATTTTTAGAATTCAGCAAATTTTTTTTTAATTTGCGGGATTCTCCTCAATGATGGAAAAAAATAACTCAAAAATAACAATTCACAAAAATCGGAGGGATTCTCCTCAATGACGGTATAAAAAATT